GCATCTGAGACATTATTAATTTCAAAAAGCATTGGTTTACTTCAAGCATTGCCAGCTTCAAAATGAAGACAAAGAAAGCAGTGCTACATACCAGACAAATGCCAAGAACCCCTGGCAGTGACAGATATCACAGCATCTAGGTAAGAATGACTCACATGGACAGGAAGAGCTATCTTTTTCATGGATCCATCTAATTGCCTAGGGGAAAAGGACCCTGGGGACACAGCACCAGTCCCTTTGCTCCTGAATCAGATGCATGTGGTCCTAGGGCAATGCAGCTCCTTGCCGGCCCTGCAGCGAGGCAGAGACATGCAGTAGAACTGTGGGAAGGTCTGGGTTGCCGCTAAACGACTTACACTGCACATCTACTCGAATGGACTTGATGGCAGGGACCCCAACCCCATTTTCTGCTTTACAGTAATAACGGCCCCCCTGCAGCCTTTGGATCTTCTCAATCCGAAGGGTCTCGTTAAGCACTGACGTCTCTTGGAATTTGTCCGATGCGCTGCCAGCGGTTTTGGTCCATCTCACCTGCACAAGAAGGACGAGGGAAATGCAATCAGTTACACAAAACAGAGATCCCAAGGGACAGCAGCACTGCCTGTGCTCCTGTTCTCCCTTCTTCCTAGCCACTCTCAAAAATGAGCCCTACAGCACCATCAGACCTTACGAAAGCTCAACTACTGATCTCAGGATGTCTCCATAGACCAGCTGCTGATGCTTACCCATCACCAATCCCCATGTCCAAGTAAGTGTCCAGCATAACCCTTCAGTTCACCCAGACACATACTGCATATATTTACCACTCCTGCCCTGGTCCTGTAAACCCAGAAGCTTGGTTAGCTTTATGCCACTATTTGCACAGCACAGGACTTTCAGCTTTAAGCCTTGGGACCCCATGTGGCTGACAGGCCATGAAGTTACAGCATACATCAGCTCACAGCCACGGAGCTTTTATTGCAGTCACCACTCTTTCATTTTTCTCTGGACGGCAAGGCTATTTCTGCTGTTTGCTTTTCCAAGTAAGAGTGAGAAAATGCAGTTGCTATCTGGCTCTTGCCCCTTTCCCACAGGGAACCCCTGTGTATGTTATTTTTATAAGTCATCCTTTTGCAGTACACAAGCTTTTACTTTGATTTTAAAGATACAGAAAAAGAAAAGAAAAAAATCCCTTCAGATTTCAAGCTATCTTCCATTTTTTGTCCTCATGTTATATGTCTTAAGATTCTGGCTTGCGGGGACAACAGGGGTGCATAATATTTCATGGTGAATGGTAGCAACAGGACAGCACTCCTAAAGATTGAATGGTTATTCGTATGTCTAGAATGAGGTGCAGCCCTAGCAGTGGCAGTACAAGCTTCTCCCTTGTTTTCTGCAGTCCAGACAATGAAAAAGAGAGATGGCTTTCCTCAACCCATTGGTTTCTTATATCTGCCACGTCTGTTCTAAAGCTTGGTGACTCCCACACTGGTACCCATCCAGACTCTGAGACTGAGATCCAGCAAGACCAGCCAAAAGAAAGAAGATAGACTTTCATCCATTCATTGGCCACAGGTAAAATGAACCAGATACCTTGACCACTTTGCCAGACTTTGCCTAAAGCTGGTGATGGACTTTTTAGGAAGTCAGGTAGTGATAGGACTAGAGGGAACGGATTAAAGCTAGAGATGGATCAGTTCAGACTGGATGTTAGGAACAAATTTTTCACCATGAGGGTGGTGAGACACTGGAACAGGTTGCCCAGAGAGGTGGTGGAAGCCCCATCCCTGGAAGTTTTTAAGGCCAGGCTGGATGGGGCTCTGAGCAGCCTGATCTAGTGGGAGATGTCCCGGCCCATGGCAGGGGCGTTGGAACTAGATGATCTTTAAGGTCCCTTTCAACCCTGACCATTCTACGATTCTATGATTCTAAAGCATGATAGATGCCAATGCTCTAGAAGGAGCAGGGGTGTCTACATGCAAGTCCCAGAGCACTAGGCTTGAGAGATTTTTGGAGCTAATGACCATGGATTTATTTAGGGTTTGTAGGCTTGCTATGAAATTGTCTGAGGACCCCAAGACTCTCTGAGTCTCCTGTTTGCAAGGACACTTCAGCCAGCTCTTCAATACTTTTTATTTCAATGTCATTTAAGTACTTTGGCCATGTTCTCAAGCTTTAATGACTGGCTGATAGAAGGAAAGAGAGAAGATTAAATAAAGGTTAGGATAAGAACTTAGCTGGAGAAGAAATCTATCTTGTGAGGAGGGATGGCAAAGAGAGGATGCATGCTATGTTTTACGTGCTTGGGTTCCAGCCTCCCTGGTCACGCCTGGTTCCGCGCTCTTGTGTCCCCTGTGCATGTCTGGGCAGCGACAAGCCACAGTATTGCCCACTAGCATACTGTCTGCATCAGTCAGTTTCTGGCTACTCAGGCTCAGATCCTTGCAACTTGCCAGCACCCTTCTACACATTCAACATCATTAGGCACAGCCAGCCCTACCATCTTCTTCATTTCTGAATGTACACAACTACCATCTATCCCTCACTGTCACGAGCCTAGGCTGGCCATTTTTTTCCAGCTTGGTTCAGATCATTTGCTTTTTATTGTTTCCAGGATATGCTTTGATGGATAAAACATTTCAAATCCTGCTGGCTGAGTCTCTCTCCATCTCCTTTGTCATTGTTTTTTAGCCAAGTAGCTCTTGACAAGCAAGTCCACAGAGGTGTTGACTGGTGTATGCAGATGCGTGGCTTCTCATCATAAATATCTTTGGCAGGACTGGGGAAGGGAGTCAAGAAGGCACAAGTATCCTGCTTGGCTCCCTTGAGTACCTTCTGGCACATCCAGCCTTGCAGTATGCACCAGCTGCCACTCTTACCACATTCGGTCCCAGAGCAAGCAGACCCATGCTCTGGTCCAGTATCTCTACAGACACATCCATGCTAACATTGAATCAGCCTGCTTGAGTCCTTGAAGGGTGGGGAGGTAGCTGCATGGTGCGTGAGGCCATACAACCCTGTAGGGACTCTGGGAAAGGACTGCAGCAGTTAGCCAGAAGCAGTTAGCTTCGTACCTCTCTGCCAAACTCTCTGACTTTGACCACAGCGTGGCTACATCCAGTGATGCAAGTCTGAATCTGCCTCTGGTTGGTGGCCATATAGAAATGACCAGCAGACTCTGCGTGGGGCTCAGTGAAGTGCACTATGAATAACTTCCCAAACGCCCCCAAGGAGTTTCAGAGCTGTATATCCAGAGAAGCTGAGAGGCTGATGGACCATGGAGGACCAACTCCTATAGCCAGCTCACATGGGAATCCTTCTCTAGCTTGTTCAGGCTGTTCCTGCTTTGTAGTAAGAGGGTTAAAGATTTGAGGGTGGTTTGTATAATTGATTCAGTTTGAGCTTTCAGTTTTTTGGGGGATTTCACATACTGAGGACCACTAAAAAATCTGTGTAGGCTCCTGCAAAGCTTTGTGGGCTGTTTTTCATGAAAGTAATGCTAGGCGCTTTGTAGCTTAACAAGCTAGTGCTTGCACTATGGGCCATTTTTACCAAATTCCAATGTGTAGGAGAAAGCTGTGCATGCTGCTACCCACAATTCTCCCTTACACAGAGATAAAAAGAAGTGCTATGTGGAACACAGGTGACAGGCATGACCAAAAGCTTACCTGTGGCCGGGGGTGTCCTGTGACCAGACACTGCAGGACCAGTGTGTCCCCCTCCCGAATTGTGTAAACACGTTCACTAATGTTGTCTTCCTTCACCACGCATGCCTGCCCAGCATGGATGATTTGGGCCTGAGCAGGAGCTGTGGAGAGGAAAGAAAAGGTAGAGAGGGAAACAAGCAGCACTCCAGCCCTTTACACCCTCTGCCCAGGGTGGCTGCTCCCACAGGATGGAGGAGCCGGACAGTGGTGGGTACAAGACACAAGGTCTCAGGAGATATAAATCGAGCAATTTTCCCCAGCTCCTGGGCGGTTGGTACAAACTGCTATTTAAAAACCTTTGGCCCTGTTGGGATGAGCAGCCCTAGGCACTGAAAAGTAGAATATGGGGCTTTTTTTTTTGCGGAGACACAGGCTGAATTTTCTTTTCTCATCTCTCCCAGAGAGGAGTACATGCAAACAGTTAAAGCAGGGACCCGGTCAAATCACAACTGCTCTACGCCTGTCTAAACCAGGCTTGATTACTATGATTTACCTTGCAGGGGGCTGGGATAACTACTGAGCAGAGTCAGAAAAGGTCTTGAAGCTCTGTACAGCTTTTAGCGCATGTCCTAGCACAGGCATAACAGGAGAAGTAAGTCGTCTCCAAATTATGCAGAAACTTATCTCAGCCCTGAACCAGAGGGAACATCCTCTCTGGGATCAGGTCACCCATAATCTCTAGGGATCGTTCCAGCCAGGGCTCCAAGCAGACCACAGTTACCGACAGTCTGGCGAGGAAAACAAGACCAGTGCTGTGAAAAAACACCCGGAAAGAAAGCTCTCAGAGCATAGTTTAAAAACTTCATGCTCCCCAAATGGAAACAATGTCTCACTGTAGCCCTGACCAAAAGGAGGGAGTGACAAGCTCTGGAAGAGGGTTTTTGAAAGAAAAAAGCGTCAGCTCCAGAGCCCTGTGCAAATAGCCCTTGGGTCCCTGCTCCAAAAGCAGTTGTATGATCACCAAAGCATCTGAGATGTATTGAAGGCGACTGCACAGCCCAACGGGACACCTGTGCTTGTTCGAGGGGAAAACTCCAGTCGCACTTCAAGGAACAGAGAAACCCACAAATGTGCCCAAGAGTCGGTGCCTCAGTGACAGTGCCCCTGGGATACTTCCCGTCTTGCTACATCGCTTCCAGGTGACTCTGGAGTCACAGCTCCAGCTCTCATTAGTGAAACAGGACACAAACGAACAAGCCACTGAGGAGATGATCAAAGGGTTTCAAGCAACAAGCCCTAGCGAGACTTCTGAAGCTACCATAGGTATTACGCAACCTGTTAAAGCTGAACTGAGCACCCACTTCTTCCTCAAGGTTAGCTGAGCTTCAAAACCCCCCACCCCCTCCATTCTTTTGATGTGACCAAAACACTCTAAACCCAGTCACGTGGACAAGAGAAGTGCTCAGATTTATGCTGGTTTAATACAGTAGTGGCTCAGACCTAGGGAGAGCCAGGCTCGGGCAGTGGAGATCTGTCTTTGAGGTCAGCCTGTATAAACCGGTGCCACCACAGTTCGCCGACCAAGCAGCAGCGACACAAGACACAGGGCTAGTGGGCAGAAAGCTGCTCCTGGGGCTCCACAAGTTGCCACTGCCACCTAGCAGCCGGGCAGCAGCACTGCACATGCAGCAGGCTACTCTCTGCACCTCTTCCATCTTTCCAATGCGGTGGCACTTTGTTAAAACCATTATTACTGTCCAAACTGTTGACTAACAAAACAACACATGTATTTGGCGATATGCTTTAACCGAACTGAGTCTCCTGTGCTGTTTCAGCCCTCAGGTCAGTCTTCTGCAGACCTGCTATCACACCTGTAACCCCACATGCACTGCAGAGCATTGCCGACAATGCTGAGACCCAGGCTGTGATGTTGAAGAATCTCTGCTCTATGATTAAAAGAGAGACTCTGTCCCTTTCCATACTGTAGCATGTTCCTTGCCCCATCTCCAACCTGTGCTGCCTGCATGTCAGTGAGGTCCTGGCACTCTGCAGCAGAAAAACTCTTTGTTATCACCCTTCACAAGTCTCCAGGCTCTATTTGCCGGCTGGTGGCTCTATTCCCCCTTTGCAAACATGACCTTGCTGCAAAAACCAGTTTCCAGACACCCCGTGGAGAATCAGAATATTTATCTGCAGCTCCAGCTCCCAGCTGAATGTTTCCTTGAGTTACTCTGCCCTACCCCACATGGTATACTGTGTGGGTCTTTCAAGGTACACCCTTTTCCCTTTGGCCATTCCACTTTCTTAATATTACTTGTCTTGTTTAACCCTTTACTGCCACCTGCCTAAAGGCATTTCCACAGCAAAATCATTAGGTACAATAGTACAGCATTAGAGGGGCTTTGTGCAACTATTCTGGTGCCAAAATACCTCATGGTAATCTGTTGCTGTCTCCCTGAGTTGGATAGAAGTATTATCTAAAGTAATATTTATTTAGCACTACAAAGCATTATATAGCACTCATCTACAGCAAAATGACAACCCTAGGGATAATCTCTGTGTCATAATTTTGTCCTCTTCTCCCAAATTCTCCCTGGATCCCCTGAGAGCCGTAACGAAGCTTACAAGGAAGACTGTGCACATCCAGCTTTGTTCATAGGTGTCTGAACTTGCCTATGTTACCTCACTAATATCTATCAGCTATATTTACTGGAAAGGACATCCCTTTAAGTAAATCCCCACTGCTTAAGTTGGAACATATCTCTTGCAATCACAGCATCAGGTCTCCAGCAGAACAATAACCATTTTTCCATGTCTTAAGCCCCATATGAGCCCAAATCTCTCAAAAAAAGAGCTCAGAAAACTCAAGGTTTGTCTTGGACAGAAAAGCACTCAGGTAGATGGCATAGGAGGCTGAGAAACTCTGCCTTTGGTTACAACTTGACATTAGTGAAGTGGTGGGTGCTGAGCATTTCTGGGATTGCATTAAATCACAAGATGAGATTCAGGAAGGTCTGTGTTCCAAGCTCAGCCTGCCACAACACACAAAGGCTGGGAAAGTCACCTCATGCTGTATTACAGATGGGCAGAGAGCTGGTGAGGATTAATTGCACTTTTAATGTGCTTGAACAGAAAGAATACATTATTGTTTGACATCATCCCAGGTCTCCTGGAGGATTTCAGCATGCAGACAGTTTATGCATTGCCAGCACAACAGGATGGCAGGACCATGCCTGTCAGAGTAAACAGTTTCATCACAGAAGGCCCTTAGGTGGGAAAAGAAAGGCTGGAGCATGAGCGCAGGTGCTGGAGATGAATCAGTAATCTCAGCCATTTTCAATAGTCCACAAAAAACAACCCTTGATCAGATAAAACCCGACTTGCTATGTACCACTGAGGGCAGGATCCCTCTCCTCAGCCTGACAAACCCCAAAGCAGAGGTCCAAGGAAGACCTCTGATGATCCCTATGGAAGAAGAAGGGACAGGTTGTTCCCCATCTTTTTTTTCCCCAATATTTTGAGGGGCAGATGCATAATCACTTCCATTCCACTTCCAGGTAAGTGATCGACTTAAGGAAGGCTCCCAGTACAAAGTCATCCAGAGAAACCAGTCCAGCCAAATATCAAGTCCCAGATGCTTTACAACGGAAAAAAATCAGACTCTGAATCTGCAGCACTAGGCCCTTCCTTGGAAAAGGGGTGGCTTGTAAAGCTGTTGGCCTCTGCATTGAGATTTCCTACTATACTCTCACACTTGACGTATTTAAACATTAAAACAAAAGGAAATTGGAGAGGATACAATAACTTCATTCCCAGTGCAGCATACTGTACAATGTTATTATTACCATAATCTGGGAAGTTTACAAGACTCTTGGTGCTTAGAGGTGCTAATATTATCAAAATGAAGAAACAGAGAAGAAATGGTCTCTTGAAGAGGATCAAGCAATCTGTAATTTGATCACAGGTCTAGCCATTTATCTTTCTGAGCCTGAGACCCCATCACTACAATGGCAATGATAATATCTCCTTCACAGAGAGGGTGGTGAGTAACAGGTTCTGCATTGACACTCCTTCAGTTGCAGTCAGCAACAGCAAGGGCAGGCTGCTCACCCCATTTGCAGCACAGCAGCAGCTACAATTTACTGCTGCTTTCTCAACAGGTTAACACTAGCCATCACTGTTAGACTCCGCCCAACCATCACCCTTGCCACCTTCACGTGTTCCGCAGATGGCATCAAGGATGAAGAACATTAACCTCCAAAGCTGCTGGCCCAATACCTGCACCTACACACACAGGGACACTGAATCCACCCATCTCTACCACCACCCTCCTGCAGAGCAGGCAGGGAGGGAAGCTGCACCTGGAGCTTTCCCTCTTCCTCAGGCTTAATCTACCATGCCGTATTGCAAGGCAAGTAATGCCCTCCCATATATCTGGTATTATTATTATAATTCAGCTTTTTCTACACATAAGCTAGGCAAAGGAGCCAGAGTCCTTCCAACATCCCTGTTCACAGGCTCCCTGGACTCACACTGCTCACTTACATGGGAGCAAGAGTGGGGGGAGCATCAGCGTCTAATCTGTTGCCTAAACCCCTCAAGACCCTGTCTGTCTCCTTCCCTCAGCCTTCCCCTCCTGAGCGAGTGGCATGTAAAGGATGCATCTTGAAGGGAGTTGCCAGAAAAGAGAAAAATACATGGTGTTTATGGAGCACATGGAGTTGAATAAGCATTTAATTAAGGAGATCCACATGTGGCATTCCTTGCTGAACAGACACGCTCAGTAACGCCCTGTCCATGGATGGAACTGCCCTGCAGCACTGCTAGTTAAAAGACTCTTCATGGCAAAGCACCCAGGGAACATCTCAGGCCTTGAAGTCACTGCTTTAGTTAGCATTTTATCCTGTCTGTTCATGCACAGCACAACTCCGCGTGAAGAGCAGGAGCATAGAAATGTGAAGACCTTTGAGGATGGGGTCATGTCCCCTTAGCAGAGCACAAAGAGATGCCAGCACACAAGTAAATGGAAGAGATGTGCTAGCAACACTCGGCAGGAGTGAGGAAGATCTAGTAGGATGGAAAAGATCTGCATGGAGAGCATACTGACGGTCAAACAAAACACCCTGCTCATTCCTTCTCTGGGAAGGGATGGCAGCTGCCT